CCACACCGCATGGAGAGCAGTGGCTGGGTGGTAAGTCTGTTGTGGGGGATGTGGGTGGGTAGTATAAGGTTTGTGGGAGGATATGTGGGGTGCGGGTGGGTATGGGGTTTGTGGGGGGTGGCTGGGGTGTGTGAGAGAGTGGGTGTGGGGTGTGCATGGGGGAGTGTCAATGCATGAGTATGACTGTAAGGGGTCTGTGGGTACGTGTGTATGGTGGGATGTGGGACCCCCCCACAAACATACCCCCACCGCATGTGCCCCTCCCTCACTGCGCACAGCCCCTGCCACCAGCAGCAACAGCAGGTGGTGAGGCCTTGGGGTGCTCATGGCCCACAGCAGGCAGACAGCCTTGGAGGTGTGTGGTCCCAGCAAGCCCCAGGACTACACGTGGCTGGGCTGCCAGCAGGGAGAGGGATGGAGCTGGGTCAGTTCCATACAGCCCCTGCCAGCCTGGGATCTGTGCTCCTGCCACCCTGCTGGCCCTGGTCCCAGAGCACTGGCATGGGCTCTGCACTCCTGCCCATCCACGTGCTGTCACTTGCCACCGCTGCCCTGCTCCTGCCACTTCCCTTCCTTCCGGCCTGCTGCTCCAGCAGTGCATGGTTCCTGGCTGCATGGCCAAGACAGAATGCAGTAGGAGCCAGCCTCACCCCTGTGGTTCAAGCTGGCTCCTGCTGCCACTGGCCCTGGTTCTGGGGCACTGTGCTCCACTTGCCCACTGCCACTCCTCCCCGCCCCCACTTCCCTTCCTTCGCTGCCACTGCACCCCCACCATCATTCAGGAAGCGCACAGTTCCTGGCTACATGGCTGGGACTGCAGGATGCTGCAGGAGCCAGCCAAGAACCATGGGGGATTCTGGCTCCTGCTGCATCCTGTGGTTCTGGCCATGCAGTTGGGAACCTCATGATGCCAGCCAGGCGGGACTGGCTCCTGCTGTGCCAGTGATCCCTGCCCCCCTCCCTCCACCCATTCTCATCTGAGTTTGCTTTCTTGGATGGAGGGATGGTAAGGAAACAGCCCCAGGGTTGCTAGGCAGAAGCTTCCAGCTGGGGGTTGGAGGGTGGGGCAGGGCTAGGTGAGACTTGGTGCTGCAAGTCCTGACTCTTCCTCCTGGGACCTTCTGCCACTGGCATGTTGTCATCTTTGACAGGCACTCACAGGCAGATAATTAATTCTCTAAATTTTTTAGGGGCTGTGCAGGCCAGATCAAATGGTCTGGCGGGTTGCCCCTGTTCTACAATATCTTGTGATACTGATAAGTTATTTCTTTACAGTCATTTGATTTTTTTTTTAAACTAGTAATACTTCTGTCATGCCCTGAAGATTACTGGAAGCAGATGTGGTGCTGTCTTTCTAATAAGTAAAATGGAAAGTCAGTATAAGACAATAATATTGTTTCCCTTGTGTCTTCAAACTGAAGAGAAATCCACTGGGGCATTTGCAATAGTTTAAGGTAAAATAATACCAGTTAAAGTGACCTAGAGACATACACAGTAAAGTGGATTGTGTCTTCATTACACTGCTTGGCAATGCTTGGTAATGCAGGTGGAAAGCTGGTGGCACTTAGGCTGAGCATGAATGAAGAGATGCCTTGAAAAGTTAAGGTGCTGAAGAAGAAAGCAAAAATAATCAAATCAGGATTTTTCACATTACTTTTCCTAACCCATCCTAGTGCCATAGGAAGCCATTCTTAGAGCCTTCATTCACCCTGTGATTGTACAAGCTTTAGCATAATCCAGACTTTAAAGAAAAGTTTTCTTGTGCTGAAAATTAGGGGAAAATCATATATAGCCAACTTGAGAGCAAGCAGAAGTGCTTATCTGAAGCTTGCAACATAGCTGATGCATGTTGCTATTAGCATTGACTTTAGCCAGATGTTTGAAAGCACCCCTTCTGAACTTCATGCCATGAAGTCATGCTTTGATTTCTGCAGTCACCCTGCTCATAGGTGACCTTATAGTTTGCTGCCTCTGCTAAATACTGTAGGTCTAAACAACTCCCTTTTCATATTTTAAGAGTACTTCAGGTCATAAACCACAGAGCATCATTGCCACTACCATACAGCCAAGTGATTTGGACAGAGATGCTGCCCTACAATACTGATGCTGGGGAGGGGAGGAGGAAGGACTCTCTTTGCCCCTCCCTGTGCCAACTGAGTTTCAGAGGTAGAATCAAGGGCCTAGAAGAAGAGGCATATCTCACCCCCTTTTGTCTTCAGTGTGTACCACTGGTGACAACTTCCCACTGCTGGACCCTAACAAGCCCCAGCACTGAGTAGCAGGATTGCATATTAATCACAGCTCAGAGCATCCAGCGTATGTGGTGGGCACCTGGGAACAGTATGTTGGATTGGGGAGGTGGTGGTGGTGGTGGTAGTATGTGGCATCTACTCAGGTCTGATTGCTGTCTTGGATGCAAGGGGCTTCTCTTCTGCAGCACTGTCCACAGATGACCTTGCAGGTAAAAAGCCAAGGCCACATTTTCTCAGCAAAGCACCTGCAATAGGCACCCAGGTCCACACAGGAACCCACAGCACTCGCCTACTGACACTGAAAGTGCTGGAAAGGAAGGTGGGAGAAAACAGGGAGTTGCACTTGTATGCTAGATCATAGCTGAGAAGCAGTCACTCCTGTTTCTCTGTGCTCCAGGGCAGATGCCTGCCTGAAGAGGTACAGGCTAAACGTATGAAAAGAGCAGCAAACGTTGACCCCTGTCCAAGCCTCTTTGCACCCACAAAGGACAGTGAAGGGCCATGGCTCTGCCCTCTGACACTGAACTCCCACCTGGGCTGGAACAGCAAAAGCCCAGAAGCAGCTCAGAGAGGAGGGACTTTTCTCCTGCTCTAGAGGGCAGCAGCTGCAGAGCAAGTCATGGACTAGGCCCCTGCAGCCTGAGGCCCCACATAGCAGGGAGCAGCAGAGGCCATAGACTCTATCAGAGCTGGCATCCAGCCTGTTGTGGGGTGAGGCAACTGGGCTCTCATGGCAGGGTCAGCACTGCACATACAACAGGACAGATGTGCACTAGATGCTGCCACACTCACAACTCCCCTCCTTCAGCAGGGTCCTGTCCTTGCTACAGAGCTGCAAATGATCCTGACTTCAGGAGGAAATAAAAGTAGGAGTTGCTGAGGCATACAGTCAGGTGATACCTCCTAGTCCAGCCACGTGGCAAGTGCCCAAAGTGGAGATGCTATCTTCTCCCTCCCCTGACTACGCAAGCCTTCCAGGGCACAGCACTCACTCACTTATTTAGAAAAAACAGTTTATTTATCACACATAGGAAACAACATCACATCACCAGCACAGCTCGCACCGGCTCTGCAAGAAAACAAGTTTGACTCTATTAATGCTTGAAACGGGTTGCCACCTCTTCTCTGGCTCATGCTGCAAGCTGGTCTGGAGTCTCTGCACTTCTATTTGCCAAATGCGATTCAATTATTTCGGCAAATAAATTCCTCTTCAGCAGAGTGTAGGCAAGAGGCAGCAGCTGTCCAACCACCTTGTGGAAATACTGCAAAGCGACAGGAAACAGCAGAGTTGGACAGAGCAAAGGGACAACTGCTTCTTGTGAAGTATGAGCACAGTCCATTAAGTATACTTTTCAAGTCCATCAAATCTGGCAAAACAATAGGCAGGGCCAACCCTTTCTCTAGCTGGAGACTATTAAAGAAGTCCCAAGAACCAAGCAATGTTTTCCACGTTCCTTTGGATTCATTATTTCAACTCTCATCCCAATGCAAGTACAGTGTTCAACACAAGCTCAATGCCGCTTTGTCGTGCATGATACTAATTATCTCCCTTTAGCAATGATACACATCAAATTAATGTTTATGGATGCATTCGAGACATAGCTACTGTCAGCTCTAATTGAGGCTCTGAACACATGAGGAAGCAGATCACTTATAGTAAGAGACTAGGGGGTGGGGGGAGAAGATTAAGTCAAACTGGATTAAAGGTTTTTAAAAACATATTTTAGACAGTCAGTTACAAAATTCTTGAATGCTAAAATCAAGCATTGTTCTATGCTGAAATGAGGGGACAACTTTTAATATTAAAGAGAATGTATTATGTCAAGTAAGGTTTTGGTTGTAGCCATGTTGGTCTAAGGGACATAGGCAAGCAAGGTTCTTTGGGTAGGTGGTCTCATAAAAGATATCACAACTGAGTAGTTGGAACAAAGTTCTTTGCAAGCTTCTAGGCACAAGTACCCTTCATCAGGCATAGGGAGACACTGCTGTCGTTCTGAGATCTCCAAGGAATGAAGAAGGGTGCTTGTGCCTGGAAACTTGCGAAGAACTTTGTTTCAACTACTCAGCTGGTTTAGTAAGTTCTTTGGGTAGATGTGATCTTTTATGCCAAGGACAGTATTTAAATCTATAAAGAACTATCCTAGAAAGTTCCAAAAAGTTTAGTCTTCCCTAAACTCCATGGAGAATTTGCATTCAAAATGACAACACAGAAATCAAAAAACCCAAAGCAATTACAATTTGTTTACCTCAAATCAGTAATGTGCAAGTGTACACCATGCAACTAAAACATGTAGCTGCATATTTTGTACTAGATAGATTGTTGTCATCACACCGTGCTGTATAGATTTGAGGGAAGATAAAATTCTCCAGTCCAGTAAGGACTGCAGTAACAGCAAACATGTTCTTTCTTTTACCACTTTGATACATTATGCAAATCCACACCAGTTACAAAAGGTACCTGGCTACATGGTTAAACCCTTCCATTACTGCTGCTTTACAGAAATTAAACAATGGGTTACTTAGCCCTGAATGGAAAGTGGAAGCTGGTAGTGTTGTTCTGTATCTTGATGTAGTAATTCCAGCTTCTGGCAAGTAGGGGCACACTATTTGAAGAACCAGGTATAGAATAACTGAATTAAAGTTTGTGCATGGAGACAAGAAATGGACATAGACCGACCATGCAACTACAGAGACTTCTGGTCTAGTTTAAGTTTGAAATGGGCAAAGTGTCCTTTCTCCCACCCATCTTTCACTGAAAAATTGAAGTCCTCTTTCACTCCATTTTTAAAGCCCACCTTCAAACAGACGTAATATTTCACAGCATCAGGTTTTCTAAAAATGGCAGAATATGGACTCCTCATGGTACTGTAAGCATTTGCAAAGTGTTATCATTTGAGAAGATAAAAACGCATTGTGAATCACTTCATTAAAAGCATTAAAAATTGCTTAAAGCATGAATAAATGCTTAAAAGTATACTGAGTTTTAGGCTGTTTGGGGTTTTTATTGCCAGCTTGGTTGATTTGAGGGGGGCAGGCACCCTACTGCCCTTTGTGTCGTGTGTTTAGTACCCCTGCTCTGTGCAAGTCTATCCATACAGCATCTGATGAAGCAGGCTGCAGCCTATGAAAACCAATGCCTCTGAACAAGTTAGCCCATAACAGTATTTCAAAGCCAGGGTGCCACAGTACATAACTTGCAGGTCTAGCTCTGTAAAGCAAATACCTAAAACATGATTCCCCAAGATAAAACCAGAAATGTCAAATAGGAATCCAGTGTCAAACACATTCTGACTCACTATGGTCTTTGAGTTCTTTGCTACAGAAGAATCTTTTATTTTTCTATAGTGAAAGCTAAAAGTTGACATTTTCTGAGGGTTACCTTGAGTCTAAAAAGACTGAGAATCCACTGGTC